TACCTTAATCCGAAGTTGCTGAGCGACTGTTAAGTACGTTTGTGTTTACAAATTATAAAACAGAGTGAACAGCTGTGTAATATCTATGTTCGTCCACTTAGGTTGCTTGTGTTATAACTTCCAGCTAAAAAGCCATTTTGTTTGTATTCCAACGCGGGTACTTACCAAAACTAATTAACGTGATTTGTTGATTTTCTGCGACTGCATTGCAATGTTTTGAGGGATTCAGGTCATGAGTGTATACTCCGATTGCTTCAGCTTACTGAATAAATTCAGAACTCGGTATACCGCTTACGAGTTTTTAAATTAAGTTTGAAGATTTACATTCCTCTGATGAGATTTTCAATAAAGAATATGAGTCAGTGTCAAAAATGTATGTAAATCCTAAATGTTACTGGCCATAAAATGTTTGTGTCGTTGTTACTTCCTGACTTGTTCTCATGTCCTGCTTGTACTCTTTATAATATAGGCGGCTCACTGTGAGGCCCTTCCGGTTCGGACGGATTCTGTGTGCCTTCTGCGCGATTCTGGTGGTCGGCTTGATATTCTTAACATTTGAAGCCTTCAGAGAGCTCAATCCGAATGTAGGTCTTTTAGCTTATACTTTCTTCATAGAAATACTGGACCTTAAAATACCATTATTTTTTGTATTCCACTTCTTCTCAATTGCAGACTGTACAAAGGAGAAATAATGGTGCCGGTCCCATTCCACCAAAGGGCGTGTATAGATCACATGAGCAGAACCAGCGTATGCAGAAGGTTCCACTACATGAAATACCGGCCGCAGAAGCTCCTGCCGCGGCCCCAGTGGAGTACGTGGAGGCCGTAGTACAACAGTTACCGGACTTTCCTGTGCCTGATAGCGGTTCTGACAAAGAACGTCCGGCTGGCGTTGTGGAACTGCCGCGGTTACCGGTCGTGGACCGTGGTACACCCTTAAGTGTTGAAGAAGTTCGGGGAGGTGAACCGTCAGACGCTCTCAATAAGGAACGAAGAAACAAAGTGAAGGATGTGAGTTTTTCGTTTGGAATCAAAGTATCCATAGACATTACATAAAACTGGCTATTTGTTAAGGTTAAGACCACCTCATCTCCAGTGCTGCCGGGATGTAAG